GAAACATGCCAGACCCTGGCGTTGAAGCTCAACCAAGGGTTGTCTTGAAAACAGGCCCAAAATGGCCTGTGCTAAAACCCTGGTCTGGTGCCTGAGTTTCAGGGCAGGTCGATCTCATGAGGGCCTGAAAATGGCCCTCCGTTTCAGGCTAAAAAGGCTCAAGGCCGGAAAGGCCCTGTTTTTAGGCTGAAACAACACCGGGCCTGTAGGCCCTTGTTTTCAGGCTTTCAGGTTGAAACGACACAGGGCCTGTAGGCCCTTGTTTTCAGGCTTTCGGGCTGAAAACGACATGCGCCTGAAAATGGCCCATGCAGCCTGTTGCAGGCGCAGCATGTAACATCTGTGACGCTTTTTCTGTTTGTTTTTTTTTCTTTTTTTGGCTTTATCTGGCCGGAAATATAGCTTGTATACATTCATTTTTAGGGTGCGTTATGTTCAGGGGAAGCCGGTAGTCTTTCCTCCGCCATATGTATACATTATTTTCCATTAGTTCTGACTGTGCCTCAAGGACATCCTAAGATCCTAACGCATCAGAAGGCCTGCGGGCGTTCTAATTATAGCCATTACCTCGGGCCAAATCCCACTAGTAGCAAAGAGGATTGGAAAAGCGCCTGAATCTGGATGTGTCTTCTGCATAAATGCAGAACAACAGGCCAATTGCAATATTCTGCACCTCTCTACATGCACGTCCAGATTCAGGTCCTGAATCCAATTCTCTTCGCTAGTGGGACTCTGCCCCTGTTCTCCTTTTCTCTTTTCTTTTTTTTTCCTTTTTTTTTCCTCGCAGGAAGGAAATAGTGTAGTTTTGTCTGTTTGTTTGTTTGTTTGTTTGTTTGTTTTTCTGTTTTTCTGTTTTTCTGTTTGTCTTTCTGTTTGTTTGCTTGTTTGTTTGCTTGTTTGTTTGTTTGTTTGTTTGTTTGTTTGTTTGTTTCCTTAAAGAGTGCTGATCCCGAAAGAGGGGGAGTGGGGAGGGGAGGTGGAATCATAATTGGTAAAAAAATGGCAGCGAAAATTTGCTTTTTACTTGACTTTTAGAATTTCAACCAGCGGGCATAGCTCAGTTGGTACATCCATGAACTGTTGAAATACACAGACCCCAGTTCCAATCCGCATACCACAAGATGACCAGAATAAATCCATTCCGAATTACCTGGGGCCGGTTAGTCCAACGATGATGACATCTCAAGGCGGTCGGCCTTTGTTTATCGAAAAAAAAAGAAAAAAGGAAGAGAGAGGTAACCTCCCTTCACCGAGGAGAGGTAGAAAGCTATGCTTGCACGGGTCCCCTGCATATCCTTAGGAGTCGTGGTATGGAGTGAAAGGAGAAAAGATATGTTTCATGACATGGCATAAACCCAGTTCACATATGTGAGGTGAGAGAAAAAGAAACATACATATATATATAGAGAGAGTCAAACAGAGCTGCCCGGTAAACCCGTAGGCAGAGAGGGAGAAGAGGACAACAAACGAGGGTTTGTGACAAACTCTTTCGTCGGAGTTTCAACGACTCATCAGGAGGCTGCATATATATCGTCAAACAGAGCTGGCTGTCCCGCGATGAGGAGAAGACAGCTTTCAAAAAAAAGAAAAAGACAGGATAAAAGGGGCAAAACATAAAATAATGTCAACAAGTAACTTCCTCAAGCCACAAAGGTGCCCGCGATGCAGCAATTCCCCAATTTCAGCCTGCGCGCGTCGACTGAATGGCATCGTTTGACGGGTTATTTTGATTGATTAATTAATTGGTTGATTTAATTGGTTGTTTCATTCGTTGACTTATTGACTGATCGCTTGACTGATTGCCTGATTCGAGTAATTAGAAAAGAAAGTTAAGTCATAACTGCTGCATCCAGGAAACAGGCAATTAACCAGTCCGCTTTTCCAGATATCGATTCACATTAGGAAAAACAAGCCAATATACTGAAGCGACAGCTGGCTGGCCCCCTCTAAAGTCACCTTCTCCGAATTCTCCGTATCCCGAAAACAAGGTACGTACCTTGTATTCAAGTTACCACCGAAAAACGGGTTCCGCTAAATTTTCGAATAGAAGGTACCCTCCAATACAAGGTAAAATACAAGGTACGTACCTTGTATTCGAGGTGTACCTTGTCTTCCGTTTTTTTTTTTTTTTTTTT